GTAGTAGTAGTAGTAGTAGTAGTAGTAGTAGTAGTAGTAGTAGTAGTGGCCGTAGTAGTAGTCGTCGTCGTAGTGGCGTAGTGGTAGTAGTGGTGGTAATCGTTGTAGGAGTTGTAGTAGGAGTAGTAATTGTAGTAGTAGTAGTAGTAGTAGTAGTAGTAGTAGTAGTAGTGGTAGTAGCGGGAGTAGTAGTGTAGGAGTATAGTAGTAGCAATAGTAGTAGTAGTAGTAGTAGTAGTAGTAGTAGTAGTATTAGTAGTAGTAGTAGTAGTATTAGTAGTAGTAGTAGTAGTAGTAGTAGTATTAGTAGTATTAGTAGTAGTAGTAGTAGTAGTAGTATAGTAGTAGTAGTAGTAGTAGTAGTAGTAGTAGTAGTAGTAGTAGTAGTAGTAGGAGTAGCAGCAGCCGCAGCAGCAGCAGCAGCAGCAGCAGCAGGAGCAGGAGTAGTAGTAGTAGTCGTGGTGGTGGTGGTAGTAGGAGTATAGGAGTAGGAGCAGGAGTAGGAGTAGTAGTATAAGTTAGTAAGAGTAGTAGTAGTAGTGGTGGTAGTAGTAGTAGTCGTCGTCGTAGTAGTAGTAGTAATCGTGGTAGTAGTAGTAGTAGTAGTAGTAGTAGTAATAACAGTAGTAGTTGTAGCAGTAGTATTAGCAGTAGTAGTAGTAATAGTAGTAGTCGTAGTCGTAGTAGTAGTAGTAGTAGTAGTAGTAATACTGGTCGAAGAGTTAAGTAAGGATTTGAAAGGGCAACAATAGCAGGACAATAACAAAGTTGATTTTCTACCACTTAGGGCTCCAAGTTTCCTTATTAATCCCACCTCCTAAACAAGTGACATTATACACTTCCCCTGGGCTGGTGTACTACACCCTTGAATAATTGCTTGGAACAATGAAATTGTTGAGTTTTAACAGCGTTTTCGAAACCGATTTCCAGGTCAGAATGTTAGAAGTCCATGAATCAAACAATCCTAGGAGAGCCAAGTAAGGATGTTAAAGGGGGAGCAATAGCAGAACAATAGAAAAGTCAACAAAACCACCAAAAATCACCCTGGGTCAAAAAAAATGTTTATTATTACCTCTATTCAGGGTGTTGGAATAATTTGGTGATTTGTTTTATTATTCCGTCCCATAATGCTAATTTGGACGCGGCACTATCTGACATAACCCAGAACTGGGATATTTACATATAGTTACCATACCTTGGGTTGGTTGACAAAGGGTCAATGCAGGCATATATACCAGTCCCACGGAATGTTTCGGATAGGAAACCCGTGAACATCTCCATCCCAGGGTCGTGTCATCCCGGGTTCCACGTGAACACCGGACGGGGCGTTTGTTCGGTGCTGTGGTCGGTGCACCGAACGGCGTCCACGTTGGACAGAGACAACGAATTGGTCATCAAATAGGACCAGCACAAACCCAGGCACCCCATGGGACTGGCAAATATTTTACATTCACTGGGGTGGTTTGAAAGGAGGTGAATGTAGGTAACTATGTCTTACATGGAAAATTCATGTTCTGATGTTCTTCAGTAATCTCGAGACCTTTGGGCGATTCTGGGTCATTCTGGCATTCAAAGCATGGACATTCAGCATGGCAAGGCAGGCTCGTGCCTCGGCTCGCAACGTCCCGCTCCGGCTCGCCATTCGTTCAAACCTGTTTTCCCCATTTCGCAGTTCCGCTGCAATACGCGAGGTGGTGATCAACTCCGCAGTCAGCAACGAAGGTGGGCGCGCCTCGAAGCTGCAGTTCCGGATCTTGACGACCGAGACGGATGCTGTGCCACTGGTGGAACAAGTGAAGCAAAGGCCAGGACAAGTGTCGGGACCGGTGGGATGGTAGTTTGCATGCTTTGTGGGGTGCGGAAGGCATGGAGGTACCAGGGATGAGCACCCAGTGGTGCGTATAGGCGTGTGGGACTTTGTAGATTGAAAGTGAAAGGACACTTTGGAGAACGTTGCAAAAAGAGCAGATAAAGGGTTTGCTACCGGAGGTGTTGCCATCAAAATGCAGCTTTGATAAAAGGAATTCACGGATCCGGGTTTCTATATAATAGTTAAGCCACACCTGCCTTTATGTGGGATTCACTGATTTACTGTGGATATTTGTGGTTTGAATCATTGAGCAATGCGATTGATTGAGTTGAGTAGAGGAAGCTGACATGTTTAATCATTGCACGTTCCACATATGGGTGTGTCTTGGAATCACTGGGCCCGACAGATATATTGCTGGCAAGAGAGAACTTGTCAATGACTGGCACCAGGATTTGAATAGATCAAGTCGCTGAAGTAGATGAAGATACCTGCACCTTGTCAAACCAACAGGCTTTGAGGAACAACATTGATTTTCCAGCCACAACACTGCTTTCCCTTAAGAAGCAGATTGGACCGGGTTCAATCCCATTGCACATCATTGCTTCACACTATTGAGTAGCAGATGCACATGCAGAACAACCATTTTAAGACACATGTAGGCACCATAGGTATCTATAGGTCAGGCATTGAACGCAAAACACAGCCAGACTCAAATTAAGATAAACTGCACGGTGTCATCCAGGTGAAGTCTATGGTGTAATACTTTCGTTAAAAAGCGCGGCAGGAACACCGAAGACCTGATCTACTGCACGTGTCTTACTGAATGTACTGGCTCCCGTCTGAAGCTCGCTGTCACCCAACTCTCGTCCCCCCATCCGGCCTTCTCCAGGCTCAAGAGGCCGTCGTTGGATATCGAAGCGGTGAATTTCGAACCCTGGTACCCCCGCATAGGCGCGCAGCGACCTGGCGTGCAGATTCGGTGCATTCGAGGGAGGTGTCTCGCGCACCTTGCATATATATAATATAATACATATACCTAGAAAAGTATATAGTTCACTGCATTTGCTCGAATGAGCCATGGAAGTACGAGACGCAAATCATCGCTAATCAAATTATATGACAGGTTTTGTGTGATTCGATAGCGCATTTCAGTGGCTAGAAGTTTTTTAGAGTAGTACTTCATCGATCTTCACTGTGGAACGTGACCACTGATGGTCTTGTGTCTTGACTCCGAACTGCTGGTCCTTTGTTGCTTCCTTTCCATCCATGGTGCTCATGGTCGGAGGCAAGCTCCTGGGAGGCAAATCTTCTGCGAGGAAGGAGTGCCTGCCGGCGCATCCAACGCCAGGGTCGTTCACTTCACAACCCCGCAGGATCAGTGGGTCTCGACACATTTCCAAAAGACAAAACTTTAAGAGAAAGCTCCAACAGGTCTGTTTTGTTTGTCTTAAGGTGTTGTTTGTCTGTGGCTTGGAGCAGGAGGTTTGGGACGATCCAAAAAAGAAGCAGCGTTTAGGACGTTTGGCTGCAGAGCACAGAGAATTGCGAACTGCTGCAAGCTCTTAACTACAAGCATTATATTAGGGAGATGTTGATTCAGAAACTGTCCCTTTTGTTTCACCACTCCTTTCTCAGCAACAACAACAGCAACAGAAACAGCAACAACAACAACAACAACGACAAGAACTGCCACTTCATTCTGGCACTCCCCTTATCAACCTTATCCGGTTTACCAACATAACGATCTGAGGAGCTGAAGAATCTGCATCATACCCCTGTCAGAGCTTTTGTCTCAATGACCAAGCTACTACTTGGCTGAAGTTGGGCCAAAACTAGATTTGAGTCTGAGTTCGAGCTTGAGCCGGGGAGTACATATGTGGTGCTGTAGTAGAATGTGCCCCTTAATCCTACGAACACAAACCGACCAACCAGTAAGCGCCCCTCAGTTCGCCTTCTTCAGAGTTTTGTTTGACACCCCAAGCTTACCTTCGATAATCCACCTCAAAGATATAGAAGGAGCCTAACGAATTGCGGCTGAAAGCATTAAAACCCTTCAATCTTCAACCTCAACCATAGAGAAGGACCCTTTACCTATATTTACCTATTGGTAATGAATCGATATTTCAACCTTCTCAGCTCCAATTGTTAGTTGAATCTACCTGCGATCATCCTCCCTTTGGTCAATGTAGGGTACTGATATCTATTCCAGCCCCATGGAGTGTCTGAACATGGAACATATTCCTCCAACTTCACGGTACCGAATTTATCATTGTATGGTCAGTGTAGGAGCTATTATTGAGAATAGAATTGATGATATACTGATAATAGTAAATAAATTCACGTAACGTAACAACTGATATTTTACTAATGAAAGTCATAAGTATTTCATATGAGCGACGGACAAAATTATTGGCTGACTTATTTAGTCATGGCATGACCCTAAACCTATGTTGAGGGCTTTGTTTCTGTGGAAAACGATATGGTCCCCACCAAAAACGATAGTCTTGTTAAGATGTAGTGGGTACCAAGATGTTTGTGGTTACCAGATGCGATTGCATTTGCAAGTTTATTTGAGCATATTTGAGCTAAACCGATGGGCACCTCTTCTCATCAATGATAATCCCAGACAACTTCCCAAACGATAATCCAAACGATAAGCGAACGATAACCTAAATGTCACGCCAGGCACTCCGTAGACCTACTTCTCCACATTACTAGTGTTGGTCCGAGTGCATAAATCAAGTGCTGTGCCATTCCTGTGCAGAAAGCACTGTAAGCCTCTAATCATCTCTAATCTGAGGTTGTGAGTCATATTTTGTGTTTTAGCCTATGTGCTGGTATGCTATGCTAACTACGGTTTGGAGAAACATTGGAGAACGATATGGACCCCACCAAAAACGATAATCATGTCAAATGGCATTGCGCTACACAAGTAATTTTGTCCGCTGCTCATATATAGTATATACATAGTATTTACCTAGAACCCATTTGATTTCTGTTTTGATAGGAAAAGACAATCTTTTGGGTGGTTTGTGGTCCAAAATAGAGGTCATTCAGGTTCTAGGTGCTGTTCTAGGTATATATATGTACTTCCGACCTCGGATATTAAGACGACCGATCGTCAACGCTTTTTTGAATAGTGTTTGGGCTCAAAGGGGGCTGTGCACTATTCAGTGTGCCGAGGGTGATCCGATCTGTGGCTTTTGCAGATCGCGTGATAGGTTCTGGCGCTCCCTGGACAATCTCCCTGTGCGGTGCCGCGGCTGGGGTATCCAGAATCTCAGAATCTGGACTGCCATCATCGAGGAAGAGCTCGAGCGGGTTGCCGAATCTGAGCGCCAGCAAGCTCAGGCGGAGGTGAGTGCAGCTCCTAAGTCGGGGAGCGTGGCAGCGCCGGAAGGGCGGCCAGAGGAGCGAGTAGACAAGGCCTGGGTGAAGCCCAAGGAGGAAGAGCGAGCCAGTCGATCCACTTCAAAGCCAGGTTTGGTGGAGGTAGACGACGGGCAGGAGGAAGAAGGTAAGTACTCCAGCAGCTCAAAGGTCGCCAAGGAGGAGAAGAAGCCGCGGTCATCTCGAGGACGATCATCCAGGAGGAGTCGAAGTCGCAGAAGGAGGAGAGAGTCCAGGAGCCGAGACGGCAGAAGGCGCAGGAGGCCATCTTCATCGGTGGAACGTCGCAAGCCACCTCGTGAGGTAAAGCCAGTTGAGAAGGAGCGGAAGGCCAAGCCGAGTGTCAGGCCTCCCAGGACCCCTTCCAAGTCGCCACCCAAGCGGCCCAAGAGGTTACCAGTTGCCAAGGCAAAGCAGAGGCCGGCAGCACACTACTGGCAAGGACCCGTCAGAAACTGGAAGCTAGATCCGGCGTACTACGGGGTGAACAAGGGCGCAAAGAAGAGAGAGAGGCATTACCAAGGTGACCAAGGCGGTCGCTGAGGACTCTCCCTACATCGATGCCCCCAAGACTGAGGCCAGCAGCGGACGTGAGACGAGTGAGAAAATTAGGATCCTCCTTTGCGGGGAGGGGTACTCAGGAGGAGGCCAGCAGCTCAGGCAGAAGCTGAAGGCGAGGCTAGAGAGGCAGGAGAGAGAGAGAGCCCAGGTGCTCGTAACCCAGGACTTTCGGAAGTCTTCGAAAGGGGTGACAAGGTGCGATGTCAAGACATCCCATTGGAGTCGCTTCGACGAGGAGTTGCAGTGGTGGTGGAAGGCTCCTATATTGGGGAGCCAATGCATCCGTGGCAGGAGTCCTCACAGATCTTCATGTGCGAGCTCCTTTGGACATCGAGGTGTCCCTCAAGCTTCAGGGTACCAACGAGGAGAACCTCCTGAAGTGGGCAAGTGGCAGCCCGAGCAAGCGGCTGAGAATCCATCTATGCGGAGGAGCTTGTCCGGAACGCCTCGACGCCGAGAACCTCCTCCACGGCGTCAGCATCTCTTGGAGAGTGGGGGAAGATGCCCCGTGGATGACCAACTTGGTGGTGGAAAGCGCCCCGGTGAAGCAACCAGAGGGTACAGGGCTCCTGAGCGGGGAGACCGGCGGAGGAGAAGGAGCAGAACGCGGAGGAGAAAAGGCGAAGGGCACAGAGAAGAAGAGGGAAAAAGACAGGAAGAAGAAGAAGAAGAGGAGCAGAGACCGAGGCCAGAGCCGAGGCCGATCACGAGAGAAGATCAGCCTTCGAGGCGGGGCCAAGAAGAAGCTGGAGGACGTCCTGGGCGGGACAGGGCTGTCTCCAGACCCCCGCTTCCGCAAGAAGTTCGCGAACAAGGCTCAGAAAAGGTCGAAGAAGAGGAGGAAGTCATCATCGACGGACAGTTCAAGTGGCAGCAGCAGCTCCTACACCGGGGAGACTGCAGAAGTCTTCGAGGAGGAGCACAAGATCCGAAGGGTTGCGAAGAGGGCGCCCGGCCTTCTGGCTGCGCAAGCGCTGAAGGAAATGCAGGGCTCTTTGTTGACAAGTACCGGTGGGATCTGGCATCAGGAGGAATCGGAGTTGCAGCCTCTTTCGCTCCAGTACTACCGGCAGTCCATGGCCCCTCGACAAGGGGCACCCTCGAGAGAAGCGCTGACCCTATGCTATGCCATCGATCTCATCTTGCAAGGACGGATAGCGGAATCGGCAGACACGCTGGTTCAGAGGTTATTAAAGAGTATCGAATTGGTTTCGCAGGGAGCGGTTTGGCAAATCGCTCAGAGATTAGAGGTTTTGCCTCCGGAACGACCAGTTCTTTCAACCAGGAGCGAAGCCAAGGAGGCTATCCGAGAACAGAAGGAGGACTGCAAGACAAAGTCCGAGGCCTCGCAGTCGCGAGGCAAGGAAGAAGGATGGAAAGCCAGTTCATGGAACGAGAGCGGAGGAGAAGGAGGCAAAAAAGGAAAGGAGACGAAGGGAAAAGGCAAGAAGGGCAAGCCAAAGGAGGACGCAAAGAAGTGAAGGGAAGCTCTGAGGAGGTTGAGGTCCTTGGAGCCTATGAGCCACCGTGCAGTGGAGCTCCGTTTGAAGGGGAGCTCAAGAAGGTGGACCAGGCGGAGCCCTGGACATTTTTCCAGTGGTCCTGGCAGCTGAACATCATGACGATGCAGAGGCCGGGAATACAGCTGTGGCAGATGTGAGGCCGGGTATTCTGGCTACTTCCCTGTCATCACCAAGCGAACGACAGGACACCGTCGCGCTTGAAAAAGAATGCGTGAAACCGCCGAGTGCAGGAGACAGTTTTGCTGATACCATCCCTTGGGTTTTGATTGCGCTGGTTTATTCGTGTGAGAAGATCGGTCTCGACCTGCGATGCAAGGCCCAGCCCAAGGGCGACGTTTTCCCGTTGCCCACCAGCATGTTCTACCTCAAGACGATGGTGGAGGCGTCTGAGCAGGAATTGGTGATTGTGAGGGGCATGTGTTGTGCGTTGAATAGCTTCTATGGGGAATCAGTTGAGAACTCCTTCTATCCCACCAAAGTTCAAGGGCAGGTGGTTAAAGGTTTGTACAAGGAGGCTCAAGTGGTCATGGGATGGCCAGAGAGGCTGGAGGAGACATCGTGGAAAAGTTTCTTCCAATTGAAAACTATTCCTTACTGCGGTGATGAAGTGCTCTGCGCACGCCCAACCTCCTGGGCCAACTTGGCCCCTGCAATGCCAGCTGAAGTGGCGTCGGTAGACTTGTCTGAGGTTTGTGAATTAGGCTATAAACATTATGTGGATCATTTTCTGGAGTACCTCCTACCCGGGGAGGTCCAGAGGAAGATGAAACCCCCACGTGTGCTGCTTCACGATGATGACTGGCTGGAGGTTTGCAAGGGGCTGATAGCCAAAGGAGTGTGCGTGCC